AATCCCTCTTGCTGTTCTGGCTTCTGAGATTCAGAATATTTTTTTCTTGTTTTCCTTCTCCAAAAACTAGGTGTGTCTTATGGTCTGGTGCGTCTTATAGAGTGAAAAATACGGTAATCTGCCCTCCCAGGAAACTGAGCATTGCCTTTCTAGCATGAGTGAGAGACAAGGAGTTGGAATCAATAATGCTGGAAAGGGAACTTTGACAAAGAACCTTTGATGGATTTGCTACCCATCAGAGAATACAGCTGCTGAGCAGAGAGCATTTACCAGCCGTTGAGGGAAACTGATTCCAAAGTGGACATGATTACCTTAATTACTTGACATGTGTTAACCCTGGTATGTTGAATATTTGTTTTCCTTTGCTTCATTCAAACACCAAGGTCCTAGACTATGGACCTACGTTGTATGTTTAAGATAATATTTTGTACTCTGGCTAATGATGCTGTTTTAAATGTGTTTTCTATATTTGACCTCCTTTTGTAATGTTTTATTTGAAATCTTTCAGGTAATTTAAGTTTCCTGATATTTATATATTTATATATGATTATATTTCATTTTTTGTAAGGTTTTATTCTGGAATCTTTTATTTGCTCTTTTAAAGTAGGTTACAAACCACTTAGATATCTTTTTCTTAAAAATATAAAGCAGTATAGAAATGAAATGAATAGTACTAATAGTAACAATAGTAGTACTCTGGACCACTGATGTCCAAGAATTGAAATCTTCCATGGAAGTTTTGCATGAGTAAGGCAATCTTCTTTCCTCTATAGTGTGCCAAAATAAAAATACCCTTAAATCCCTTGTATGCTGCATGGAATATTCCATGCTAATGAAAAAGGCCATCATTACATATTTCTTAATTTTTCAGGTTTAAAATTATTATAATGGATTTGTGCAGTGACTAACGCAGTAATCTTATTTATGCTTCCCCATGAAATATAGTGGAGACTTACTTCTAAGTAAGCATGCATAGGATTGTGTTGTAAATGAAGAAAAATAATACTCAGTGCCCCTAACTTCATCTGCAAATATATATTCCATTTTACTAGCTGATTTTCTGATATGCCCAGAAACTAGTGCCTGTCTTGTCCATGCTTGAGCTTCTCTCTCTCTCTCTCTCTCTCTCTAACAAGACTAACAGAATAACCACTATCCTGACTAACGATCCTAAATGGTGGTTTGAATCCCTTTAACACCCACCCACCCACATACCACATTTTAATCATTTAACCACCACAACTGCAAATACTAAATGGTACAAAACTACAGTACTTTACCAAATAAGCTTTTCTGAGAAATCCAATGGCTGAGTATCCACAGGCCCAGAACTCCATCCCAAGTCCAAACCATTCTGACTACCATTGGGGGAACCATCAGAAAAGTTTGGTGGGTGCTGCAATCTTCTTCCAACCTTGTCCCTTCCCATCAGAGTCAATGGGTGGGAAATTAATTTCTCCAGGTCCTGTCCTAGCATGATTTATTTTGTGTTCACAGGCAAGTTCATGGGATGGAGAGACTAGGATCTGGTGTAGTTGGGTTCCTCCATTCATGCTGCCCACTTTCAGCCTAGGATTCAGGGAAATAATATTCCCAATGGAGAGGCTCTGTGGACTTTTTGTACAGCATACAGGGGCATTTCTGCAGGCTTTCAACAGGAATTGGCAGCCTCCATTTCATTTCAACTCCCCTTGACCCATGAACCAGTGAGTATAGGATTGCACCCATTAGGATGAATTAATTTGCATTAAGTGGTGCCATGTGTCATCCTACTCCTAGGCCAAAAGGGTGGCAGTTCATCACCACCACCACAGCTAAACCTAAAATTAAAGTTTAGGTTTATTTGTTTTATTGATCTTCAGAATCATGGAGGACAACTGAAAGACCCATCTAGAAATCTGCGCAGGCCAATGTAAAACAATAGCACAGCACAACAAAGAAAAGAATTCTCAATTGTCCCACTACTTAAGGCAAACCTCGAGTCATCTTGATAAGCAAACACCCAAAGTGGGTGATGAGGATGGAACAAACTCTGATTTGGATATAGAAGTTGGAGGTAAACTGGGGCTGTGATAACTGAAACAAACAAGATAAAAAAATTCCTTCCAGTAGCACCTTAGAGACCAACTAAGTTTGTTGTTGGTATGAGCTTTCATGTGCATGCACACTTCTTCAGATACACTTGCATGCACATGAAAGCTCATACCAACAACAAACTTAGTTGGTCTCTAAGGTGCTACTGGAAGGAATTATTTATTTTCTTTCCACTACGGCAGACCAACACGACTACCTACCTGTAACTGAAACAAACAAGGTCAAGGAAAGAAGCAATTTTCACAAGATAGATAAAGGAAAGTGATTGCAAGAGAAGAGGGGGTTCAGAGGGGGGATAAAGACAGGCAACTAACCAGTGCTTACGAAAAGTGAAGTCGTGTTTGAGAAAGAATCAGGAAGGAAGGTCATTGGGGACTTATGAGAAAGAGCGACAGTGCAAAGGAACATGATAATGCTAACTGTGGGAGCCAAGGAGAAGATAGCAGAAATGGTGAAACAAAAGGGACTGCACAATAAATTTTGCGCATTAAACAAAATGCAGACTGCAGTCCTATACACCAGGGATGGGGAACTGTGGTCGACCTAGGGTTAATGGAGTGCAGCTTCCATCATCCTTTACCATTGGCCATGGTGGCTGGGACTGGTGGGAGTTTGAGTACAGCAACATTTGGAAGGTCAAAAGTGACCAATTCATGCTAGACACAGTTATAAGAAAGTGTGAGTAAGCTCCATTGAGTAGGACTTTAAAAGGTTAAAAAAAAAGGTAAAGGACCCCTGGACGGTTAAGTCCAGTCAAAGGTGACTATGGGGTTATGGTGCTCATCTTGCGTCAGGCTGAGGAAGCTGGTGTTTGTCCACAAACAGCTTTCCAGGTCATGTGGCCAGCAGAACTAAACCACTTCTGGCACAACGAGACACCGTGATGGAAACCAGAGCGCACGGATACGCCATTTACCTTCCTGTTGCAGTGTTACCTATTTATCTACTTGCACTGGCATGCTTTCAAACTGCTAGGTTGGCAAGAGCTGGGGGCAACGGGAGCACTCACTGTTGTGGGGATTTGCACCGCCGACCTTCTGATTGGCAAGCTGAAGAGACTCAGTGGTTTAGACCACATCGCCACCCGCTTCTCCTGAATAGGACTTACCTTGGAGCAGACATGCAGAGGATTGCACTGACAGTGTGTTTGCAGGAGCTGCTGCTGCCCACTTCCTCTCTCCAATGACTTGTAGCCATCTTTGTTGATGTTGATGACTTATAGACATCTTTGCACCCACCATCATCTCACACCATTGGCCAGCATCAGGGCTCCCATGGAACCATTGTTGGAGGCCGCATGCCTCTAAATGCCAATTGCTAGGAATCACAAGACTGCTGCTGCACTCTGATCCTGTTTGTGGGCTTCCCACAGACATCTGGTTGGCCATTCTAGGATCAGGATGCTAGACTAGATGGGCAAGTGGGCCTGATCCAGCAAGACTCTTCTTATATTCTTAAAGGGATTATAAGGTCCATATGACACATAGGAAAGGCATATGCAATGGGGAATTGGAAACATTAAAATCATCATCCTGACTTGCAAGCTCTAAGCTCTTAAGAGGCATATGTTGGCATTGACTCATGCTAGTTTGGTTGGAGAAACAGGTAGGGAACATGGGAGGGGTCGCTAGAAATGGCTTGATAATGCCGTGACAATAATGTTGTCGAAGCCAAGTGAATCCCAGGAGTCTAAGGCTTATCTGATAAGAAGAGCAGCATGGATAATGCCATTTTGGACTTGGAATTAAAGACTGTCAGTATATAAGGTTCCTAATGGCTTTGTGATTTTTTTTCTTCCTGTTTAAAACAGCAGGGTATCAGTTTCTAAATAAAGTTTTAAATACCCACCTTCCTGTACACTGGAGAGGAATGCCAGCTTTCCTGCCTGGAAAAAACCTCTGTAATTCAAAATATGTGCCGTATTGGGGTAGCAATGGTGGAGAATCTGCAGGTGTGGACAGATGCATGTTTGTTCTACCACATTCTCTTCCTTCTTCCCACTGCATGCAATGTGCCTGGATGTATAACCTCCATTCTCACTTTGTGGAGAACGCCTTTCACCCTGTATAGAACTGGGAAACCCCTTCCCTGACAAATCTTGCAGTTTCAAAATGCTGGGCTTGTGACTTTGTGCATTTTGTACATTGCCTCTAGGCTTTGGCGTAGGCGAGGCATGAAACCCTAATAAATCATCTTCCCAACAGGAGCTGTGAAGTTGCCCCAAAAGACCTGCATGTGGGGTCACAATAACTGTTCTTAGGTTGACAGGGCAGACCCATCCTCCCAACTTTAGATAGGGAAATGATCCCCAACTGCACACACACACACGTACGTTCCTCTTTGAAATCTGTTTACAAGCAAGCAGCCCATCAGCTAAAACCTCTCTCCCACCTAACCCCCAAGATCTTTATCGATTCTTTTGGCAGTGTGAACCACAGAGCTTCCGAAAGACAGTGACCGGAGGCACCGCATCAGGAAAGCAACAGGAACAATATGTTGATCGAAATGCCCATCCGTTTGCGGGCAACCTTCATGTTACAGAAAGAGCTTTGCTTATCTGTAGGGAAGCCGGCGGTGGGTTGTCAACGCATTCAGAGAGGCGAAAGAGACGGACAGTGAGACGGATTGCCGGAGCCTTCGTACCATGGACAGCTCCTGGTACAGAGACGCTGGAGAATTCCCCCTTCCTCTTGCGTGTGTGTGTTAATAATAATAATAATAATAATAATAATAATAATAATAATAATAATAATAATAATAATAAATCCTGCAGTCCACCCCCTATATTAGCAAACGCCTCCAGCTCCTCCTCTCCCTTGGGAACAACCATCTCGATCCGAGCCCGGGAGATCTGACGTCAGGGATCGCTTTCGTCGTTTTGACGTGTCAAGCCCTCATTTCCATTCTGGCTGTGGCGGGTTGGAGTCCTGCTCAAGCATGAGCCGGGCAGAAACGGGCGACCTGTGATCGCAGCCAGGCACTTTCTTGAGAACAGCCAGCTCCTTCTCCACCCCCCGCCCCGCACCAGCCTTTCTCCTGATCGCATAGCAACCAGAGTGGGGAAGGAGTTTTCCACTCTTCCTCCTTTTTTTGAAGCACGAATCCTGACTTCTCCAGCTGCCTGTGACTCGATTCCTTGATCGATTCTCCTCGTTCTCTCCAAAGCGCCCGGTCCTCCTTCTTCCTCGCCGGCTGCCATGGAGAGGCGAGGCTGGGCAGGGCGCAGCGCGGCCGTGGCTTTGCTGGCTGCCTGGAGCGCAGCCGTCCTGCTGGTCCGGGCGGAGAGGCAGTTCGTCAACGAGTGGGCAGCCGAGATCCCGGGAGGTCCGGCGGCAGCCCAGGCCATCGCCGACGAGCTGCAGTATGAATTTCTGGGGCAGGTAAGGCTCCCCGCTTCCCTCCCCACTCCACCCCTCTCCCACCCCATTGCGCAAAGCAGGCAAGTTTGTTTCTCCCGCTTTCCCGAATAGGAACCGGGCGGCGCGCGTAATTGACAAGCGATGCCATTGACTAGCAGCTGGAGATAGTGGCTGTGCGCTAATGGCTCTGTTGCTGAGACAGAGCTACGCACGTCACGTGCTCCTTTCTAGACACTGATTCCCTTAAGCAAAGACTTCTCGTGCCATTATTATTATTATTATTATTATTATTATTATGGAGTGGTAGGTGGGTTTCCTAGCTCACGATGGCGAGTTCTCCCTCCATATGGCAAACACAGTCTCCGGGGAAAGTCCTCAGAGTTCCCAAGCTTTCTCTCCTGCCACAGGATTCTTTGCTTTTCTACGCAGACCGCTGCATAATAATAATAATAATTTTAAACAGAGTTGAGGAAATGACTTTAGGGATAGCACACTCCCTTGAGTTCTGCGGGAGGTGGCTTTCTCAGGGACAATGCCAAACGGAGCGGAATCGGCAGCAGGCGCTGGGAATTACAACTCGGGGGAGACGAGGTATGCTTCCTTCTCGGAAGCCCCCGCAAGGAGACCTTCCTTGCTTTGCATTAACCCCTACAACTCCCCAAGACGAAGGTGGAATGCCTTTAGCTGGGGTTCCAACCTCAGGATCGGTTTCAGTTGCCAGGATTATACGAAGCAACAATCGAGAGAATTGATAATTCCCCGGGGATGGGTGAAGCAGTATGCAGAAGGAGAATGCGTGTGCAGAGTACTTTCCCCCATCCTTCTGAGTAAACACAGACATCTGGGTTTATGCAGGAGGAAGCCGTCATTCCGTGGACCGAGCTTTCAGACAAAGAATGAGCTCTATCTTCCTTCCTTCCTTCCCTCCTCCTTTGATAAAGTTCTACCAGCCCAGAGCAATGAATCCACTTGCCGTTTCTCTCCCCAAACCCTCTGCTCTTAGGGAGATTTTTGTGCCTCCGTGGTTTGGTGAAGGTGCCATGTGGATTGAGCAACAGCAATCCTACACTGTATCCTAAAAGTTAATAGCGCCAGGTGTTTTCCACAATCTCCTCTCCCTTCCCTTCCCTCCAGCCCACCTCCTCCCCCCCGTTTGTCATGCCATGACGTCACTGTTGTCAGGGATGAGTAACTTCATTTACGTAATAGCAACCTTGCCCCGTTATCTAATTGTAGAGTTTCCTACCTGTATCCTGTACCCCAGCAGTTGACTCCAGTAGTGCAGAAACCAAACCCCTCTGATCTGGTTTCTAAAGAGACAGCCTAATATGTCTGTGTGTTAGTCCAGTGATGCAGAGCACGGAGGGGGGGGGATCAAAGTCTAACATCTGCTTTCTCTTTTATGATCCTCACTTACCTCTTATGCTTGAAACAAGCTCCGTTGTCACTGCTGGAAGCAAATTTAACTCCCCGCGCCCCCATAAAGGTAGTGCTGACGAACTGCTGTGCTGGCAAATAGAAGTGCATAGGATCTGATTCACTGCTGTATCCTGTGTCCTTGTGTCAGCGACACAAGCCTACCCCAGCCTGTTTGTTACACAGCAGTGGGTGTTGACAATATTGCATTGGCAACGACTCAGACCACCCAATGAAGCAGAACAGAGGCACCCAGGAATACAGCGTAATGTCGAGATGAGCAATGAGGGGGAAAGTAGCCCAGGCAGTGCTGTAGCTGCGGGGGGCTAGCCAGGTTTTTTTGCCCCTGGTGAAACCTCCAGAGGAGCGTCATTGAGGCTCCCAGCCTGCCTCTCTCTCTCTCTCTCTCTCTCTCTCTCTCTATTTCTGTGTGTGTGTGTGTGTGTGTGTGTGTGTGTGTAATACACAAATGTGTGTGGGGGTGCCAAACTGGGTCTTTGATCTGGGTGAAATAAAGCCTAGTTTTGCCCCTGAGTCCAGGTCCAGAGACCATGCGACGAGCTTCTGCACCCTAACCGAGTCAGCTACTTTGGCACAATCTAGGGCCGTGAGCTGTTGCAAAGAGATTGCAACTGATAGGGAGCGTGGCAGAGTTAAATGCCCCCCTTGTTTTGCAGAGGGTTCTCTCTACCTGAGAATAAGCCACTGTGAATTTTTGTAGATATGCACATCTCATGGCCAGGTTTCCTATATACAAGATCAACTGATTCATAGGCACTTCGATCCTCGCCTCCTGTCAAAACTTAATTTGAGTCAGCAAGTGTCTCTGATTCCATAGCCATAGCTCATCCCTGGAGCTTGTCAAGTAATAATAAAGAAAAGTCTGCCTTTCTTTTGCCACGTATATATCTTGATTTGGAAGGCAGGCTTTCTAGCTCGGAGGGTGTTGCTCCAAGCCTGTCGAGAACCGCTTTGGCACCTTTCGTTTTAGAAATTTTGATTTGTTTATTTTAAATATTTCCGCCTTGCTGAATTTCCCGAAGATCTAAACACGGATAATACATGGGAGTTGCTGTTTGTAGTGCATTTGGAATTCAAGTAGTGGCGGACATTTGCAAGCACTCTAATGAAGATGTGTAGCACTTAGATTGCTGCTGCATTAAATGGGAGGCGGTAATGTTGCTCTGAGATGAAGCTAACGGGGGTGACATGTTATATGGCCCAGGTCCTAGTGCTGTAAATGTGGTGGGGGCTGCTATCAGCAGTAAACCACTTCCACATGGTAGGAGCTCCACGACACAGCCCCAACACTTATAACTGGCTCTGGCAAATGTTTGCCAGATCCACTGGGGGCAGTGGCCCTGGCATGGCTATTTACTAACCGCTGGCAGGCTTATATGCGGGAGCTGAGTAGAACATTACAGTGGCTACCTGGAGCCCCAGAAGTGATTTCAGTGGCAACCAACCTGTGTCCATACTGCCTGAATCAGGCAACAGTTGTAGCTCTAGGAGCTCACATTTCCTGTCCCAATTAAAAACCCGGTAAGAATTGTTGCTGAGCAGAACTGAAACCAGGCTCATTTAGTGCTTAACAGAAGGCAGAATCACTCAAGCTCTTATCTCTGTTTTAACACTTCCTGTATTATGCCACTAGCTGGGTAGTTTCTAGGCATGCATTGATCACCTCTCCTCCATCTAGATTTCCACATGATTCCTAACATTTGCTCATAATTGCAATTAAATGGCTGGAGTCTACAACCTGCTACTGTTGCAGCCAATGTGCCAGGAATTTTAAAACAGAACCACACATGCCAGGCCATTACAACCCAACAAATAGGAGTTATGTTACTGGTGCCACCTTAGCAAAGGGAATTAGATCTCCATCCATGCTGAAAATAAAACCCACTCCCTGTCCTGACTGCTGAACAACCATATTTGAATAAGCTCCAAGATTTAGTCCTGCTTTTCTGGCCAAGTAAATGTCCTCTCAAAATTCTGCATACCATGTAACATGAGTTCCAACTGCCAGAACACAAAGTAGGAAAAATGAGGATTCTAAGCAAGCCAGAATTTGTACGGCTGCTGCACAAGATCACTGTGGCATTGCAGAAGCAGGCTATCTCAGCATAGCAATGCAAACAAAACTACCGTAGACATTTCTACCAATTATCATTTCCATGATGATCACTTGGTAATGAGAAGTGGAGGGCACTGAACATGTTGCATTCAGGCCGACAGCGATTCCATATATCATTCACTCTAATATCCCAGAGATGAGCAAGACGACTTTATACTGGGGTAAATCAATGTTACGGAGAAAGAATGGAAAATGATGAAATGAGCTGTGGGGAATCCAAGAAGTGCTGTCTAATGAAATCCAGAGCAAGGCCATTGGATAAGAGAAAAGCGAGGAAGAGAGAGTGGAATACATCATGAGGTGGCTGTGCTCTGCCTCCACAGTTGGAGTCAGCAATGCTTCTGAGTACCAGCTGCTGCGAAAGGGACACAGGTGGCGCTGTGGTCTAAACCACTGAGCCTAGGGATTGCCGATCGGAAGGTTGGCAGTTCGAATCCCCACAACAGGGTGAGCTCCCATTGCTCGGTCCCTGCTCCTGCCAACCTAGCAGTTCAAAAGCACGTCAAAGAGCAAGTAGATAAATAGGTACCACTCTGGCGGTAAGGTAAACGGCGTTTCCGTGTGCTGCTCTGGTTTGCCAGAAGCGGCTTAGTCATGCTGGCCACATGACTGGGAAGCAGTACGCTGACTCCCTCGGCTAGTAAAGCAAGATGAGCGCCGCAACCCCAGAGTCGTCCGCGACTGGACCTAATGGTCAGGGGTCCCTTTACCTTTATCAGCTGCTGCAAACCCCAGAAGGGGAGGGTGTTCTTTTACTCATGTCCTGCTTCTGGGTTTCCCACAGGCATCTTGGAGCCATGGTGGGACAGGATGCTGGGCTAGAGGGGCCTGCTTCCTGTTTTATGTGTTTTTATTTTATATATATAATTTTTATATTTTTTTCTAATTTACATTTCAAAATATTCATTTGTCCATGGAGTTTTCTTGGCAGGGATACTGGAGTGGCTTGCGGGTTCCTCCTCCAAGTGGATCACATTTGGTCAAAACTCTCCACTATGACCTGTCCATCTTGGGTGCCCTGCACGGCATAGTTCATAGCTTCTCTGAGTTCTTCAAGCCCCTTCGCCACGGCAAGGCAGTGATCCATGAAGGGGAAAATATTCATTTAGACAACTTTAAATCAATGACTTCCCTTCTTCTCTTTCCGTGGTTCATTTTGCATACCATAAGGTAAAGGGGGACCCCTGACCATTAGGTCCAGTCGTGACCGACTCTGGGGTTGCGGCGCTCATCTTGCTTTATTGGCCGAGGGAGCCAGCGTACAGTTTCCGGGTCATGCGGCCAGCATGACTAAGCTGCTTCTGGCAAACCAGAGCAGCGCACGTAAACGCCGGAGCGGTACCTATTTATCTACTTGCACTTTGACATGCTTTCAAACTGCTAGGTTGGCAGGAGCAGGGACCGAGCAACGGGAGCTCACCCCGTTGTGGGGATTCAAACCGCCCACCTTCTGATCGGCAAGTCCTAGGCTCTGTGGTTTAACCCACAGCGCCACCCGCGTCCCTTGCTTGCATACCATACACCCCTGCATATTTTGCATGAACTAAACCATTCAGTAATCCATTGCTACATCCATCAAAATTTATTTACACTGCTGAATTTATCTTAATGCTACCAGCGGTTTTAAATGAACACAATTTTCACCCACATATTCAGTAAACATTTTCCAGTCTTCTTTAAACGTATGTTCTTCTTGTTCTCTTATTCTATATGTTAAATCTGAAAGCTGCGCGTATTCCATCAGCTAAGTTGCCATTCTTCTTTGGTTAGGACCTCGCTTGTTTTCCGTTTTGGGGCTAGCAAAACACGGGCCACAGTAGTAGCATACATAAATAAGCTTTTTTGACACCTGGGACTCCTTTGTGTTTGAATCCTTTCAGTTCCATATCTATCTATCTATCTATCTATCTATCTATCTATCTATCTATCTATCTATCATCTATCATCTATCATCTATCATCTATCATCTATCATCTATCATATCATCTATCATCTATCATCTATCTATCTATCTGGAACTGAAAGAATTCAAACAGGGTCTGATGAGGAAAAGCCTGGGCAAATGAAAGTAGGCAAATGCATTTACATGTCCTCAGCCTTTGTTTTGGTTGAGGATAAGGATGGAGAAGTCCTATGCTCTAAACAAAAAGCACCTAACAGTTAATCGTCTGTACACATAGATGGGTAGTAGAGTTGGAACCTATTTGTTCCTTTTAATTCTAAGAAAAATCCTGTCCCCTGTGCATATTTTCAACACATTGCTCTATTCAAGACACATTGCTATTAGTTTAAAAACAGTGTATGTTGACAATTATTCACGTGTTTAATTGCTTGGAAAATATTGGTGGAGACACAGTTCTTTTCCCACAGTCTTTGCACTTCTGCTTTTGAATAAATATTTTATCCAGCAAAATTTAATGTTCTTATATTCGAAGCATTTCTGGGAAATTCCAATTATCCGTTGCTATTGACTGTTTGCTCCCTGTGGGAAAATATCTCAGAAATCATCCTGTGTATTGCAGATTGGATCACTTGAAAATCATTATCTATTTAGACATAAGAGCCATCCTAGAAGGTTGCGAAGGAGTGCTACTCACATCACAAAAAGACTCTTGGATGATCAACGCGTAAGTATTGCATTTGCAGTTTCCCGTAGACTGCAATACTGAATGCACTTACAAGGGAATAAGCCCCCATGAACCCAGATGGGCTTACTTCTGAGCAAACATACATAGGATTGCAGTTTCCTCTGGCCTTTAATTTATTTATTAAATTCATATCTTCCCTTTCCTCAAGGAGATTAAGGGATTGCCCATGGTTCTCTTCAACCATTTTTATCCCTACAACAATCTTGTGAGGTAGGTTAGGCTGTCTAGCTCAAAATAACATGGGGAGGTCCACAGCTGTCAGTGTTTGCTCTGTTGGAGTCAAGTGGCCACCCACCCTCATTTTAAGGTACAGAAGCTGACTGAACCAGCAGTTGAATCTTAGGCCTCAAGTTTACCATGATACCACTTTAAACAGTCATGGTTTCTCCCAAAGAACCCCAGGAATTGTAGCTTGTTATGTGTCCTGAGAGTTGTTAGGAGACCTCTATTCCACTCATATAGCTTCAGTTCCCAGAGTTACCTGGGAAGAGTGATTGCTTGTTGAACTACTCTAGAAACAGCAGCTCTGTGGTGGGAATATAAGTCTAACAAATCGCAGAACTCTTAAAAAACTACAGTTCCTAGGATTCTATGGAGAAAGCCATGAGTGTTTAAAGTGACATGAAACTCCTTTAAATGTTGCAGATGGGGCCTTATTTCAGCTCTGACAATGGGATGTTATCCTCCACAGCACTTGAGGGCAGCAGGCTTGCTTAGCAGATGCCCAATAGGCCAGGTGGCTCAGGGGAGATGTTTCCTCCTGGTATCTGCTGCCAAATGGTAGGGCCAGCCCTGAATGTAGGAGAGTGAAACAGACTGCTGAAATTTATGGCAAGTGGATAATGTTTGCATAGTAGGGCTATTGTTGCCTCATGGTGTCAATGTCAAGATTTGCCCCACAAAAGGGTGAAAAATATAATCATCAGAAATTTTGGGGTTCATTGAGGAACTAGCCAAAGGGGAGTCTGTGGAAATTGGCAACGCTCAACAACTTGCCAAAAAAACCAACAACTTTTGTGTCTGGATTGTCATTTTTGAAATATGGCAACCCTACCTAAAATGCAACAGATTCCTTGCTTTTTAAAGAAAACAAAAGGTGAAGGAAGAGGGAAGAGGGAAGTTGTGATGACAGTGCAAGTTCTAAGAAGCAAAGTGTTAGCAAATGAGAAGGTCCAGATCTTGGCCAGCAGTTTGACAACTGGCTACTGAAATTATGCACTTAGGAAACAAGACAAAAAGCAGATGTGTGTCAGATAACAGAGGGCAACATAGACCAGCTGATTGTTGATATCTTAGTTCTTGGTATAACCACTGGGAAATCAATTAGGTGTATGTTATTTTGTTCACACCACAGCAGCTTCTCTGTCGTGTCTCTCCACACTAGGGGTGTAACCTGCAACAGCCTACAAAGTGGAGAGTGTTCACACCACACCAGATGTCTTGGTGACATCGTCATCAGACATTATGGCAGTTGCTCATATCCTTTGGGCATTCTCAACAACTCTTTCCCCCTTCCCAGTTCAATTCAGAACTGGATTCAGCCAACTGAGTTCTCTCATGTTGGGGCGAGGGGGAGAAGCTTTGTGTATTCTGGACTCTATCCTGTGCCCACTTTGAGCCCAACTGTGCTCCCAATTACATCACCAGCAGCACAACTGGGTCTGAATCCCCTCCTTGCATTGTGAGACACAAACCTAATTGCCTGACTAATGCAGAAGTCTGCTGTTTCTGTTTGCTGAGTCAGTGGCAGAGATGGAATGAGATCTCTGCCTCCTCTCTCCCCACTTTCTCTCCTCCCCACTCCTTCCTCTTTGGTTCTTGAAATACGGTTATGGCAAATTGCAGGCCCTAGGAATGCCGGGAAATGCAGGTTTTGTGACATCCCTGTGCTAGCATTTCAAGTATGAAGGTGAAAGGAAACAAAAGGGAGTAAGACTTTCTTTGCTGCCATCACTGCAGCCACAGCCAGGTATATAGGTAGGAAGAGAAGGTCTTTTTCAGCTTGGATTGTAACCTGAGCCACCAAAGAACTACGGGGCTGGGGTGGTTGGTTCAGTTCAGTATATTCTAGTGTGCTTTACAAGCATGGCAGATTTGCCTTCCAAACTGGATCATTGCAAAGTTCAGTGGCATCAATGTTTTCCACGTGAAATTTGGTGCTACACATGAAATAATCAGCAGGGAGATCCACTTTGCATAATGGGAATGGGTGTCAGTTAAGTAACCCGCCCTCTGCCCCTTCAAACTACTATCTGTCGAAATTGAGCACTTATCAGAATGTGGTCCTCCAAGCTTTGTATATGCAAAGGCTTGGTTGCAGAATTTGTTTTCAATATTAGAGGTCAACTCTGACATGTGTGCAGCGCAATATTAATTACCGTACGTTTGCACTAGCAGCAGCTGCTGAAGAAGGCCAGCTTCCTGGCTCTTGCTACAACCTTTTGCAAACAGGGTTATGCCTAATCTGCAAAGATATATTATAACATGAAATGGAGCATGGCTGTCTTGCGATTTAATGCAAATACCCTTTGCTGGGATAGTTCAGTTGGTAGAGCAGGCTTGAATTACCTTTTAGAAAGAAAATACAGTATGTTGAGTTACAATCATTTAATATAACTTCCTAAAGTAATAAATCACCATATGCCAAGACTAAACAACAACAACCCAGCAACCTAAAAAAATAATAATAATTAAACCTATCTTCCAGTAAATAGGATGCTCTTAATGCTTCCATAGAGAACAGACATGCTAAATTAAATAGGGTGTAGTCCTCTGTCATTAATGCTCTTATTCTATTATATATAATTATTAGATGTGATCTAATAGTAACAGTTTTCTTAATATGGAGATTTGCAATGAGATGTAGTTACAGGGCCAGGTGGAAGAGCATATGGACTGTGAATAAACAACTTTGATACTGGTATAACAAGAGAGTATATCTCCCACATTCACTGCTATAATTGTTTTTAGTTCACACAGCTAAATGTTAAACTGTAGCTCATGGATAAGGTTTTTTTATACATTTGAGTGAGTCTTGTTGCTTAAAAAAAGGAGAGAGATAATTTTCTGTTACTGATGTGCCAAAAACCTGTATGCCTGTTTCTCAAAAAAAAAAAAAAAAAAAAGCTTTCTTCCCCTGTGAAAGAGGATTCTGTTTTTCTACTTCACTTTTCGAGTGCTTTAGAATTTCAGCAGCTGTTTTATCATTGCAAGGTTGATCTGGGTGCTTTTCTTTCCATTAAATATTTCTCCAGTTCTCAGCAGCCTCCCCAGTGCCTTGCACTTCCAGGTCTGGAAAAGTCCCTTGGGCATCATCCCTGGATTTTATTTTTTTATTTTTTATTTTTATAAATTTTTTATTAAGTTTTCACAATAAACAGACTTACATAAACAAAAAAAGACAAAATCACAAACAACAATACAATACAATACAATACAATACCACACAATACAATACAAAAATACAAAACATAACCAAAAAAAAAATTCCCTCTTTCTTAATTTCTCATTTTCTAATAGCTTATTTTCCCGACTTCCTCACGCCCCCCGTTCTTGTATCCCTTTTTAAAAATCAGTTCAGCAAATTCATAACCTGTTAATTTATCTATTTGTTGGTCCAATCTTACATTTTACTTTGTTGCTAAAGCCTATCCCTGGATTTTAATTAAAGTGTGGGAAGCTGGAGAGGCTGTGGCGATCAGTGTGCTTGTTGATGTTGTTTTTAAGGGAAGTTCTTCCTTTTACCTTAAAAAAAAAAAAATATCCACACTGATTTCTCTATAATTAAAAAAGACATAAATGTTGTGAGTCTGAAATGTGCCTCTGAGATTCTTAGAGAGGGGGTGGGATAGAAATGAAATAAAAATACTTTGGTGTAACAACAACAACAACAACAACAACTCCGGGTTCTTTATAGATGTTTCTATTGGCAAATATATTCCAGGTGTCTTGGGCAGAACAACAGTATGAAAAGAAGAGAAGTAAGCGTTCAGCAGAAAATCTTTTCAATGACCCCATGTGGAATCAACAATGGTATCTGGTAAGAGCTTGCATTTATATGTAGACTCTACATGTCTTAAGAAAAGTCAAAAGTCATCTATGAACTGCAGGATTGCATTTAGGCTGCAATCCTAAACATCCTTCGTAGGGAGCAAGTGTCATTGCACTGAACCGAGTGGGACTTACTTTTGAGTAACGATCCATAGGATTGCACTGCATGAGACATGCAAGGTATTCAACTCTTGACGAGCAATTTTCTACTGTCAGCTTCAAAATTATAAAATTAAAAGCATAGTGCACAAGAACTTTTGCAAAATGTTTTCACCTTTTGAGATGGATTTTTCTTTTCTCTAATAAGTCTCTTATTGCTCACGTCACTGGCCACTGGCTACCAAGTATCCCCCCCACACACACACACACATTCAGGTTCTGAAAATGGAAAATTCAACAGCTATCAAAGAACAGACTGGTGGTTTGGAATAATCTCTCGACTGCAATTGTTAGAATAAAATGCATTGAAGTTGCAATCAGAAGCAGACTAAGTGAGCAGGAAGGCACTTCCACTCACACATCGGGGGGGGGGCACAATTTCTGCCAACTCCACCAGCAGCCCATTGTGCCACACCCCACACTCTGTGTTTGCTACTGTGACACAGAGAATGGGAAATCCCATCCCACAAGTGAGCATGGTTCCGACCTGTCAGGGAACTGCCATCAGCTCAGAGGCGAGCGGTGGAAGGGCAGCTGGGTTACAGGGAGCCTCCAAAGACCGTGAGAAGCAGCACTTCCTCCGCGGAGGAGGGAAGCCCCGCCTCTAGTGGGGAAGAGATGCAGGGCTCGGAGGATGCAAGAGAGAGCCAAGACACCTTGCCTGAGCAAAGCGAGGGGGAGGCAGGTCCCCCTTTACCCAGGCCCTCTCTGCACAGTAGGTTTACGCGCAGAGAGGGGAGGCGTCAGATGGGGGTCAAGAGACTACTCTGCTGGGGAAAGTTTAAGGACCGCCCACTCTCAGATTCTGCTAGTGACTGAGCAAGACATGGAACTGAGACGTTCTGCACTGTAAATGCTTTTGCACCAATAATAAAGCCTTTGAAAAGACCAGTGGGGATCTTGCCTGTTCGCTCTTGAGCAACCATGCCGGTAGGCATAACACGACCCAACAGACTTTACTTATGAGGAAAGAAGATCAGGCTACCAGGCTACAATTTACAGCATGCTTACTGGGAACCAAATCCAATTAAGTATGATATGACTTGTTTTTGCTTAATATTGGGAAGTACATTGCAAGAATTATTGGGCATAATCCAAAGTTAAGCCCTGCTGATCTGACTGGAGAGCAGGAGAGCGCATGCTTTGCAAGCAGAAATTCCCAGGTTCAATCCCCACCTTCTCCAGGAATATATATAAATGTATTATCCTTTATTTTTCCTAGCAAGACACAAGAATGACTCCGTCTCTGCCAAAATTGGATCTCCATGTTATTCCTGTGTGGCAAAAGGGGATTACTGGGAAAGGTGTTGTCGTAACAGTGCTTGATGATGGCTTGGAGTGGAACCACACCGACATTTATATTAACTATGTGAGTTTTATACTTCAGCAATCAATCAGTTATTATTTACCAATGGAGTGGCTAGACTCTTGGGGCTTGGATGTGGAAAATGAGTTTTATCTCCCTGCTCAGCAACGAGGCTCACTGGGTGACCTTCAAGTTACTCTCTGTCTGCCTGAACTGCCTCACGTAGGTATTGTGAGGATAAAAATGGAATCCTTCAATAAAGGCTAGGAGATTACAAAGATGACAAATAAAGTTAAACAAATTAATAATGAACAATAGTTCAAGTGTCTCTCGTGAGCTCATGTGTGTGTGTGTAAATATAAAAAAAACTGTTAGAAAAAACTAACAGGAGTAGTCACTAAAATATAATATCAGTGCTATTTTTCTAGAAAAAGAGGTGCTGGAACTTACCATGAACACCTCCCTTGTTCTCTTAGAATGGCAATGGAATCTACCTGACAGGTGCCATAACTGAATTCCGGCAACTTAAAACCATGGAGAGACCTGGTCTGAACAAAGACATTGGATTCTTATCTCATTATACATGACAAAGCCATTTTTCACCTTCTCACCCCTTGCTTTTTCCTGTAAGACCTATTGCAGTCGTTAAGAGTCGTCAACAGGCTCATCACAGCTATCTGCCAATCACCCATTCCCACCACCCTTCTGAGTAATACCCCTCCCCACCTTCTCACTATATAGAGGGATCTGGCGACTTCTGTTTCAGTGTATCTGAGGAAGTGTGCATGCACACGAAAGCTCATACCAAGAACTAACTTAGTTGGTCTTTAAGGTGCTACTGGAAGGAATTTTTTTTGTTTTGAATTCCGGCAAGTTCCAGCTGAAGAAAAGCCCTGTATATTATCATGCTGCTGCAATTGCAAAATAAACAAATAAATAAATAAAGGGGGGTGTTTTCAAAAAGTTAGAATTAATTTATCTCCGCTGCCTCAGAAATTTCAGAAGTGTTCGTTATCCATCCTCTTCATTTGTTTCATTTTTCAACTTAGGATCCTGAGGCAAGTTATGATTTCAATGACAACGATCACGATCCATTTCCTAGATATGACCCAACAAATGAAAACAAGTGAGTAATGATTTGCTGTTTCTCTCTTTAATATATGCTGCCGATAATCTCTGCAAAACAAATCTTGATAGTTGACCCTTGGTGAACTTTGACCACTTTCATAATATGTATGGTGCTATTTAAATGAGCTAGCGCAGCGGTGGGAAACCATTTTTCTGGTGAGGACTGCATGATGGCTGTCAGCAGGGATTGAGCCAAAAGTGAGTGTGAGCAGATCCAAAAGTGGGTGGCTACACCCCTTGTTCTCCCTTTTTCTCCAGATGAACCAACCCGGAACCTGCAATCATCATCCAAGGCACTTCTTCGTATGCCTCCTCCGTGAGAGGTCTGGAAGGTGGCAACACGAGAATGGGCCTTTTCTGTGATGGCCCCCTGTTTGTGGAATGCTCTCCCCAGGAAGGTTCACTTGGCACCTTCATTACATATCTTTAGGCGCCAGGCAAAATCATTCCATTTGCCCCAGGCCTTTGGCTAATTAAACAATCTATAGCCTTTAAACTCTCGAGGCGGGGGGAGTTATAGTTTTTGTTTGTTGCTGGACTACAATACCCATAATCCCTGGCTATTGGCCCTGCTATCTGGGGCTGATGAGAAATGTAGTCTAACATCATCCAGTCGCGGGCCACAGGTTCCCCACCTCTGTTCTAGCCAATCAAATAGTACAATATGGTTTTTTGGCAGGCTGGGCCTTGAACGATGGTTTGAGAAGTCCAGGGCAAGGAGAATTGGCTCATTTCAAACATGGAGTCCAGCTCAAGTAGTTGTTCCAAGCCAATTAGAAGGCCAGTTTGTAGTGACACAATAAGGAACTTACACGATGGTTCACCAGCCTCTATCAGGCAAAAATGATATTTCATTTACTACATGGATGCTCTTATAACAGAAATAATATCACCGGAGTAGAAGGTTTTCAATGGATTAATGTTTCAAGCCTTTTGAAAATCCATCACTCGGCTTCTCTGCAGCAGTTATCGGCAATGGGAGACCATTATCCTCCAATTCAAATGGCATTATCCCTAAAATCTACCATTTCTGCATAACATCAGCTCTTTATTAATATGTAAATGGAATTCAGACTGGCAGCGTTCAACAGCTCAACTGCATACAAAGCTGTACTACTAAATAAGGCAGCTTTTCATCTACGGAAGGTGAGCAATCATATAGAACACATCATAGAAAACATGTTACCATTTACCCTGGGACTAGCAACAAGGACAAGCCATACATATAAATTCTTGGTATCTTGTGTACTGGAAACAAGGCAGGCTTTGCTTTATAGTATTTCCATTTTTTTCACTTGAGAAACTAGGTTTGCCCTTGGAATTAATTCATTAAAATTGGCTTATCATTCAAATGAATGGCAATGACAGTACAGTATACTGCAATCTGATCCCTGTGATCCATTTGAATCTGATACATTCAAATGAATAATCATTCATAATAATAGTTGTAAATGATCGGTATGGACTTGTGGGTTTTGTTGCAGACATGGAACACGGTGTGCAGGAGAGATCGCCATGCAAGCCAACAACCTGAAATGTGGAGTAGGAGTTGCATACAATTCCAAAGTTGGGGGTAAGAATCCAACATAACAATTCAATTTTAATAGAGTTTTCCACCCCTGATGTGCTCGAGGTTTGAGCAAAGGAATAGTAAATGGAGCAACTTGCACTGGCAAGAATGTATTATTAGAGGAAGTCTTCCATTTCTGTTATATGCAATGGTCAAGCAGAAGTGCTGGAAAGTATTGCTACAAAAGTTGCATGCTATAGAAGACTTGGGACATGGGTGGCGCTGTGGGTTAAACCACAGAGCCTAGGACTTGCCGATCAGAAGGTCGGCGGTTTGAATCCCCGCGACGGGGTGAGCTCCCATTGCTCGGTCCCTGCTCCTGCCAACCTAGTAGTTTGAAAGCACGTCAAAGTGCAAGTAGATAAATAGGTACCACTCCAGCGGGAAGGTAAACGGTGTTTACGTGCGCTGCTCTGGTTCGCCAGAAGCGGCTTAGTCATGCTGGCCACATGACCCGGAAGCTGTACGCCGGCTCCCTCGGCCAATAAAGTGAGATGAGCGCCACAACCCCAGAGTCGGCCACGACTGGACCTAATGGTCAGGGGTCCCTTTACTTTTACCTATAGAAGACTTATAACCTCTCCCCAGGGTCATTGCTCTATTTTATTTTAACAGAAAATAATATATTCACTTAACCCTCATGTTTTATGCCTGTGCACCTTTGCAGGAATTAGGCTGCTAATATGGGCTTCTTCCTATCTCCCTTTAAAATGGGCTAAAATTCAGTTGTGAGGCTATACAATGCACTTTCACAAATGTGGAAGGGGCCATGTAAATGCTTCTCTGCATCAGCTCCTATCCCAAAGAGAAAAGGTCACTGTTAGGACTCCCAGTACCAGGCGCAACTTGAAAGAAAAAGATCTCATTCCCCTCCTCTAATGGAAAATAATAGGCTTTCTAATGGAAAATGCTTCTCTAATGATTCTGAAAGTGGCTTACTAATGGGAAAAATGGTGAAAATACTATTTTTTTAAAAAAAACCCGTTGTGGATGTTTAAAAGATAGGAAAAATAGTAGTCAGTCTAGTCATGTTAAATAAATATAAAAATGCAAAAAACAAACAAATCTAGGTATGTTTTCCAAAACTCCTAAGTGTCATTTGTTTATGTCTGAGTGAAAGAGTAATATGGAAATAGATAGGCGCTTGTTTATGTTTTGCTTTTTAAATCTGAGAATGACAGGTATGTAGTTCAAATGCCTTGTCAAGAGTAATGTAGCCTGCAAAGTGAAAGATTTATTTTTTTTCTACACAGCTTTTCTCACAGTGTCATCAATCAAATTTCCCAATTACCTTGGTGGTGTCCAGGTCATTTGCTTGTCTTATACTCAAATTGTATGCTAATGTTTGTACAGCCCCTTTTTACCCACCCACCCGAATTTTAGAAATCTCGATTAACAGAGGATTCTAAAGCAGTACTAAAGGGAGCGGAAACATTGCTCTTTTTACACATATATACTGTATAAAAAATGAAAATGGGACAGCTGTAAGTGGAGCAGACAACTGTGCTGACTGCTGTCACATTTGAATTCCTCTGAGTTAACAGCCTTTTCCTCTCCTGCCTTGCAAGCTATCAATCATGCTACATTCCAGTCTGACTTCTTCACACCTTTCTAACATCCTAAATGAAGCAACTGCCTCTCAAGACAGAACTAGCCCAGTCATCAGAATGTGAGGCTGCTGTGAGAAATGGTAGGAATAGGGTGCCCCTATTTTCAGTGAAGAAATGTTGGAGAGTTTGGAATTGAATCTCCTGCGTCAAATAAAGTCCTGGATCGGTCTTCCGCAACCTGGTGCCCCTGGAAGTTTTGGACCACAACTCCCATTAGCCCGTGTCAATTGTATTTTTAAGCCCTGGCAGCTTATATTGGCTAATAATATATTTCTATTCTATAGAGATAAGAAATGTTTCATAATACTAATGTTGAGAAAGCATGAAATAACCACTAGTTTGTCTCTGTCTCTGTCCGTCTCTCTGCTTTCTCACATTAAGGCATAAGAATGCTGGACGGAATAGTCACAGACGCCATAGAAGCAAGTTCAATCGGTTTCAGCCCAGATCACGTGGATATTTATAGTGCCAGCTGGGGCCCAAATGATGATGGGAAAACTGTGGAGGGACCTGGCCGGCTGGCACAGAAGGCTTTTGAATACGGCATCAAAAAGGTGAGGCCTCTTAACCGAGAAAGTGGCAGTATTTTTAAGCAGTTCATACATGCCAGGATACAGGGCCTGGGAACTTGCTTCGTTCCAAGGAGCAGTATTTATGTGACTTGTTCCCTAATTCTGCTGTTTTAGAGATGCTGTTTTAGAAAAACTGGAACTATTCTAGGGAAAAGTTGAACAAGAGTGGCTGAATGCTTTTACATATCCTCCAACTTTCCTCAGATGAAAATAGGGACATTTCTCATCCTCCCCGCCCCCAACTGACCCACCTCAACTCCCTATTTTTTTGTCCACCCAGCCCCCCAGCATTTCCTATTTGAAAAAGGGCGAGTGTCACCACCGCTAAACCAATGGGACACAACACACATGCCCTCCACCATCTTGAGAAAACCTCTTAATCCCAATTCTATTTTATCATTTTCTTTCGTAGATTTACAAAAAGAAAAGCACACACCAATAAATAAATCTTAGAGAGGCACAAGATTAGACACACAAAACATTTTGTAAAAAATAAATCAAGACTCCTTGCACTTTGCTCCGCTTCTTCTTTCTTCCTGCCCTCTGCCTGCCCCTCAGAGCCACGGCGGCATGTGGGGCTGGACCTTAGTGGTAGCAGCCTCATCCTGGCTTGCTCTCCAGCACCTGCTATGAGCTGCCCAAGGAAGGACGCCAGCGGCAGAGGCCATGGAGAGGCCATAGAGAGGCAACAGGATGCTCCCTCAGAGCCACTGCTGCAGCCGCCACAGCCTCTGCCGCTGCTGCCACTTGGGACAAACACCAGCTCATCTTCCTCCCCAAGCAGTGGCAGCAGTGGTGAGGAAAATAGGGACATTCCAGGATCAAATCAGAAGCCAGGATGTCCCTGGAAAATCAGGGCACTTGGGGGGATATGCTTTTAGGCTCTAGGGCTCAGCTCAAGATCTAGATAGCAGCAGCCCACGTTGTCTTTCAGCTCGTTTCCTTGGCTGCCTGTTTTGCTTCCAATACTAATGGGGGTCTTGTGTGTGCAAAGAGGTGCTATAAAATATTGATGGGAACTTTCTGCTTCATGAATATTGCATTTGTCTCTCTTTAACATGCCCAGATTTTATGCATTATTTTGTAAGCCCATGGAGTAACTCAATCCAATTATAATTAAGATGGTGAGAATGCACATTAAGGGGGGGGATTCCACCATGCTAGCTCTTTAGTCTAGCTAAAGATCATGCAGGCCTTTATTGGCATCTTTTTATTCATGCCTACCTATGAAATACACGTGTACCACGCCAGCGCTGGGAGATCAGAGGGCCCAGGGCATGCTTGGTTGCAGTTGGTTGGTTGCAGTGTGTTTTGTTTGTGTGTGTGTTGGGTGTGTGTGTGTTGCTGAGTCCAATTAACAATATCAATTTGTATGCTGTTGGAGGGGATTGGTCATTATCTTGTTGGCCTGTATATGTAATAAAGGAAAATGCTGTAGATTCTGTAGGTAACAATGCTGGTGTAGTGGTTAAGAGCGGTAGACTCGTAATCTGGGGAACCGGGTTCGCATCTCTGCTCCTCCACATGCAGCTTCTGGGTGACCTTGGGCTAGTCACACTTCTCTGAAAGTCTCTTAGCCCCACTCACCTCACAGAGTGTTTGTTGTGGGGGAAGAAGGGAAAGGAGAATGTTAGCCGCTTTGAGACTCCTTCGGGTCGTGATAAAGTGGGATATCAAATCCAAACTCTTCTTCTTCTTCTTCTGTTTGCTGATCCAGGAAGGAAGATCGGTTTGCAATGTACCAAAGGTGCTGAGTTCCACATGACATGGGCGGGGGTTCATCATGTGCACGTGACGTCACATGTGTAACACACACGTAACATCACGTGCATTGGGAGGAGGCCACGAGGTCCGATGAGGCCCTTTGCCACCGAGGGTAGGTCCAGGGGGCCCCTCCACCATTGTGGGGAGGCCTGCTGCAGGGAGGCCTGGCAGGGCCTGGCCCCTCAAGATTGGGAGGCCTCAGCCCCATCCCCAGCTGACCTCAGCCCCATAGATTTGACACCTATGCATTGTACCCACATAATGGTGCCCATCTGGGCCCAGTTGAACCAATAGGATGCATCTTTTGATGTCAATGAATACTCAGCCACGTCCTAGTAGCACTTGCAATAAATCAGCTGTCTGGGATTAGATCTGAACAGTGCTATTTTTCTAGAAAAAGAGGTGCTGGAACTCACCATGAAAGCCTCCCTTGTTCTCTTATAATGGCAATGGTGCCCACCTGAGAGATGTCGGAACTGAGTTCCAGCGACTTCCAGCTGAAAAACTAAAAGGCCTGAGTTTGAATAAGGGCCTGCATATAAATCCATTGGAAGTTAATTGTATTTGCTTTTAATATATTGCTCCATTTTTGTAGTTTGCCTGTTGGCCCACATAGATTGCACAACAGGGAGCCCCATTTTAGCTGGCAGTAACAACTTGCATAGACATAGTTATGAAAGCGATCCATCAACAAATGTACAGAAAGCAACTCGGCTGCAAGGCAATTTAGAAGACCAGCAGCCTTTCTAGTGCTTTACTTATATTTTTCATAGTTCTCACCTCAAGAAGGTTATCTTTAGTACTGGGAAATGTTCCAAAACAGGCAACCAAAGTGACCAAGAAGTTGGAGCTACTCCCTTTTGAATTGGTGGGGTTTTTTTGTTTTTGCTTTTGCTTAGAAGGTGAAAAAGTGGATAAGGAGAAGTTTTCCTCCCTGCCTTATCCTTCTTAAGTAATTGTGCCATGTCAGCCCTGGACTACTGCATGGCCTCTGTTGTGGCCTATATGAGGGTAAGAAAACTGATTCTGAATCCTGGCAAGATGGAGGCATTGTGACTAGGTGGCTCCTGAGTCAGGATAACTGATCAATGGCCTGCTTTGGGTGGGGTTGAATTCCCCCTGAAAGAGCAGGTACATGGTCTAGGGGTGCTCTTGGATTCATCTTTGTAGCTGGAGACCCAACACAATGTTGCATTTTATTCATCACGTGTTTGCTTGTTGCTCTGACTCAGGCATGAGGACCCTTTTTCAGCCTGAGGGCCCCATTTCTTCATGGACAACCTTCTGGGGCCCCCATTCAAGTGGTGGCTGGGTCCAAAGGCAACAGTGGGTAGTGGAACAGATTGTGAGATTTTAGTTATATCTAAGTTATATGTAGAGTAAACCCATTGAAATTAATGGACATAAGTTAGCCACATCCATTTATCCCACCCATGGAAAATCAAAGGTTTCTGAATTTTGACAGATACTTTTGACACGTACACTTTTTCATCCAGGCAAGCAAAGAGGCGTTGTCACAGTCCAATGACAAATTCTTGCCTAGCAAAGGCAGTCGGGAAGAGCATGGAGCAGGTCTGGGGAGGGATGTGTTTGGGGGAGAATCCTATGGGTCAGATAAAGAGTCCTGGAGGGCCAAATTTGCCCCTGGACCTGAAGTTGCCCTCCTCCACTCCAGTTAATCGAATGCATTCCTTACAAACATTACCAGCAATCATTTCTTTCTTACTACTCTTTGTCCTCTTTGGAAATTCACCCAAGCAGATTAACAGTGGACCACACTGTTCTTTATAGTGAGTGTAAGTTCATTAATTCCCTTTTTTTAAAAAAGACTCAACATAAGCTATCTGCTGAAAGGTCACCAGCAAGCTACTACAAGATCTAGCCAATATATTTTTTCATGCTGCTCTAGCTCTGAGTGTTTGCATTTTTATAGCTGCCTCTCACTCATCACCCAAGACTCAAAAGGCAACAGGGGCGATTGGTTCCTGACTTTAACTAATGGAGAGTCATGGATTTTGAAACAACAGGAAGGCACAGATTATATATTTTGCTATTCCACTGCCATGAAAGTACACGCCAAACATAGAACACTTAAAATGCCAATGCACTTGTGTGAATCATACACTAGTCACATGGGTAATAAATCAGCAATATTATACGTGAAATTCATGGAAATGAAAAGAATTCTTAGCATCTATTTAAGTGTTGTTTTAAATATATATACCTGGAATCGGTGATGTTCCCTCAGAGCAATTATTTCTGTTGGTTACGTTTTGTTTTTCTGTGTATATTGACTATATATTGTTCAGCTGGGCAAATCGCGAGAAATTCAGATGCAGCTGCTACCACCACCCCTATTGTAAAAAGTGGGGCTAGATACTGCTAAAGCTTTAGAAGTTGTTGTTCTACGTAGCTAAGGATAATTCTGAATGTTTCTTTTTTAAAAAAAGAAATGTTCATATACTCAGTATTGTCTTCTCTGAACAGCTGCGACTCTCCAGAGTCTCAAGCAGAGAGCTTCCTCATCACCTTCTATTTGATCTTTTTAACTAGAGATTTCAGGAACTGAAACTGGAGCCTTCTACGTGCAAACCACATTCTTTAGTATGGAGCCTCAGCCATTCATCACTCACACAGCCATGCTATTCAACCAAGCACCTCTCATACCTCTCCATCACTAAAAACCACTTTGTCCCCCAATGTGAAGTTTTCACCGCATATTCCTCCTGTCTCATTCCCCTTAGCCTTAAGAGGTCAAGCCTTTGAAAACCCCTGTGTCTCCAATCCACCGCACCGCACTAGACCACATGTGAGGGTTTCCCTAAGCAAGTTATCCTTTCATTTACAAGAGAGAAACTGCATTCATTTTCAACCTTCCATGACTGACCCTTCCCACTTCAGACTGTTCTTATAGCTCCTCAGTGAATGTTCATCTACTTAGTATTGTCTACTCCGTATGGCTGCAACTCTCCGTATGGCTGCCATACAGTGAATGAAGTGCTGTACTCTTGCACCAATTGCAAATTGTTATATATTGTTATATTGTATTATTCCAAAAAAAGGGGATAACCTTTTCTCAATCGATTTATATAGCTCACTTATTGCTGATGTGTTCAGTTCAGCCTACGAAATGGCTGCAACAATGATTTTTTGCGGGAACGTACAGCATTGGGGGGACGCGGGTGGCACTTTGGGTTAAACCACTCAGCCTAGGACTTGCCGATCAGAAGGTCAACGGTTCAAATCCCCGCGACGGGGTGAGCTCCCGTTCCTCGGTCCCTGCTCCTGCCAACCTAGCAGTTCGAAAGCACATCAAAAGTGCAAGTAGATAAATAGGTACTGCTCTGGCGGGAAGGTAAACGGTGTTTCCGTGCGCTGCTCTCGTTCGCCAGAAGCAGCTTAGTCATGTTGGCCACATGACCCGGAAGCTGTACGCCGGCTCCCTCAGCCAGTAATGTGAGATGAGCGCCACAACCCCAGAGTCGTCCGCAACTCGACCTAATGGTCAGGGGTCCCTTTACCTTCTACCCTTGTGATAACCATGCTGTTCCTTTCGTTTGCTATAGGGGCGAAAGGGGAAAGGTTCTATTTTCGTCTGGGCTTCTGGGAATGGCGGCCGCCAAGGAGACAACTGTGACTGCGATGGCTACACAGATAGCATCTACACGATCTCCATCAGCAGTGCTTCTCAGCAAGGCCATTCTCCCTGGTATGCAGAGAAGTGCTCTTCAACAATGGCCACAGCATACAGCAGTGGGGATTATACTGACCAGAAAATTGTAGGTTGTTTTTACCAGATTTAACAAGCTTTCATTTTTGAGGGGAGGGGAGAAAATCGCTTGATCCATGTTTTATGTTCTAATATGCCAAGTCCTTCTGTAGTGGGATGTAGGATACTGCATTTCCCTAATGATAAGACAAAACAACCTTTCACTTAAGAGCAAAAAGTGATCCATAGTTTTGTCTTCATGGTGTTGATTGCTGAAAAAAAGAATGTCACTTGTGGGTGAGAGGAGGCTCTCTCAAATCTGTCACCCTGAAGGACCAAACTGCCTCTGTATCACTTATATAATAATAATAATAACAATAATGATAATTTATTATTTATACCCCACCCATCTGGCTGAGTTTCCCCAGCCACTCTGGGCGGCTCCCAATTGAGTGTTAAAAACAATACAGCATTAAATATTAAAAACTTCCCTAAACAGGGCTGCCTTCAGATGTCTTTTAAAGATAGAATAGCTGCTTATTTCCTTCACATCTGAAGGGAGGATGTTCCACAGGGCAGGCGCCACTACTGAGAAGGCCCTCTGTCTGGTTCCCTGTAACCTCACTTCTCGCAGTGAGGGAACCGCCAGAATGCCCTCAGCGCTGGATCTCAGTGAACGATAGGGGTGGAGACTCTCCTTCAGGTATACAGGACCGAGGCCGTTTAGGGCTTTAAAGGTCAGAACCAAGACTTTGAATTGTGCTTCTTGGACAGGGAATTAGATTGAATTTGCTTTCAGTGTCTGGATAGAAAATTTGTGGGTTTCCTGTCCCTTTCATGGCAGGGAACATCTCTGCTCATAGACCAACTGATAGATTTAATCTTGCAGCAACTGATAGATTTAATCTTGTCATTTGTGTAAAACAGGAGGTAGTATGCAACCTGACTACAACCCTATCAGAAAACCACATGGAAGTAGCAATCATATTGCTCCTATAGCATGGAGGGGGGGGGACCCTGGTCTGATTGCGAAGCAGAGATGTGGGTTAAAATAACTGAAGTGTGATTGGTCAGAAATACTTCCAGTTTGGGGTTGACTTACAAAGCTTCCCAAATAAGAATATGCCCTGTCATCAGTTCTTCACTTCCACACATTGTACCTTTCCTTACTGACATGTTAGGTACTTTATCTAAGTGGGAAACTTCATTTTCTAATAAATCATCCACTTCATTTTCTGAATGACCGTGTTCTGCTTCTGTTTGAGGGGAAGAACAGCGTTCAGTCTCAGACTCTGTGATTTTAAAGCCAGAAAGCTCTTTAAAATTTCCTAAGCCCAACATAGCAATGTGCTTTATGATTCATTTGTAAACATGGAAAGCTAACTTGTATGCTCCTTGAGATTTCAGAATAAGGCAAGTTGCTTGACTTGGACATATTTTCCTTCAGTGCAAAAAACATTTGGATACAAAAACTAGAATTAAAATGCATACAGCAAAAAAGAGTCTTCCAACTCATCCACATTATTTTATTAGAAAGAGTCAAATGTGCCCTCAGGTTGGACTCACTAGAAAAATAGGAACTAGATCCAGGCTCAACAATCAGACATGGTTATTGGGTTTGTTCTAAGCATAACTCATTCTGGATCCCACCCATAGACAATAGTGTTTTAGTGCTTGGAGACAGTAAACTCAAATTCTGTAATTTATGATGTTTATCTCCTTCAGATAAGTGCTGATCTTCATAATGAATGCACTTCCACACACACTGGGACATCTGCTTCTGCTCCTTTAGCTGCAGGGATCTTTGCTCTGGCACTGGAGGCCAAGTAAGTCTTCTTAAACTCTCTTTTAGTACCCGTCTCTTTCTTTCTTGTTATCATCACTGTGAAAGTTATGGCAAAAACCCTCCAGCAGTTCAGGTCTTTAAAGTTAGCTGGATTGTTTTTAATCGGCTCTCACTGTTCTTCACACTGTTTAACATATAGGCTCGTCTCCAGACTTAATCATGTTTAGAGTAGATCAATGGGACACACAGGTAGTCTGCAATCCTAACCCCACTTATCTGTGAGTAAACCCCACTGAATTAAACAGGACTTTACTTCTGAGTAGACATGGTTAGAACTGTTCTGTAACTTACATCCCCCTGGTTCCAGGCATGACTAAATATGGATCCAACCCACGGTAAATATAAAAGCCACTGGCATTGACAATTATTGATTTAGATCCTAGGAATTAGACGCCCTGCAAGTTTCAAGGTGGTGATCTTTCTTAGAGGCTGAATGAAAGAAGGGTGGGAGAGAAAGGACAAAGCTTTCATCCATAAATCATTATGATCTTCCTTGTTCAACCCCAAAATTGCCTTCATAAATGTTTACAGTGAAGGCTGCAGATATATATAATGGGGAATAGTATTATGACACAATAGTAAATCGACTTAACAAATGTTATATAATGAAGTAGCATTGATCTTCTAACCTACTATTCCAGCCAACACAACATAATCTCTTTCTCTATAAAAGTCCCTGCAAAAACATGGCTGGGGAACCTAGTAGGGATCTGCTGACTGATGGAACTATGTGAAGAACAGTGGACAGCATGAAAGCCCCAGGATATTTTGCTAAGAATGCTAAAATTCATGAGCATAGTCCCACCCACTGGAAAGAATGTACTAAGTGTGTGGAAGAAAATTCCAGTGGATTGTGGCCAAATACCATTGGGTGAGATATTTAGAAATTGACTAGAATTTTGTTTGTGATAGTCCTAATCTAACCTGGAGAGATATGCAACATTTGGTAGTCTGGACATCTGAATTCGATCCGTTGGCCAACAATCCGGGATGGAAGAAGAATGGAGCCGGACTGATGGTGAACAGCAGATTTGGATTTGGATTGCTCAATGCCAAAGCACTGGTAGATTTGGCTGACCCTAAAACCTGGAAAGAAATACCCGAAAAGAAAGAGTGCATTGTTAAGGACAGCAGCTTTGAACCAAGGTAAGAATTCCATTGTTAGTTAATAGCCTATGTCTACCGGAAATATTTTATCCCATTAAAGACACTTGAAAAGCCTAGAAGGTGAGTCACTGTTGCTTATCAGGAGAGAGGAGAGAGGCAGCAGGGTGGTCAGGTGGTGCAAACAAAAGTGGTTGCTTCCAATTGGCTCTGTCAGTGCATTTGCATTGTGATTACCTCCCTGCAACCTCATCCTGCTCCCTCCGTGTAAGAAGCAATGATCCACCTGCTGGGAAGCTAGCATAGAGGGTCTGGTCCAGTCAGCAACTCACTTAAGTTAAAAAAAACAGTGTTCCTGGTCTACTGTTTCCCACATGTGCATTAGAACAAGAAGAAGGCGAAGATTTGGAAAGGGACCCACTATTCATTGGTAGCAGAGCAGTGGCGTAGCGTGGGGGGTGCAGGGGGGGCCGGCCGCACCGGGCGCAACATCTGGGGTTAGGGCAAATCCACGGGTTAGGGGGCGCAAATCCACGGGTTAGGGGGCGCAAATTACTTGCCTTGCCCCGGGTGCTGACAACCCACGCTACGCCACTGTAGCAGAGCACCTGGCTTTGCATGTAAATGGTTCCAGGTTCAATCCAGTCAAAAGTCTTTCAGGGCAATGGATTGGCCCTGGATTGCTGCTGCCAGAGAAGACAAAAAAGATATCTGCTCTGTGCCACCACCACCCCAATACCAGGCTGCTTTGAAAACTTCCCCATGGTTCTCACAGGTGTATGTAGCATTGTAATCTTGAGCATTGTGGGAAATTTAGCCCATAGCTGCCTGGTACAGAGCAAGCATCAAAGACCAGTGGATCCTTGAACCTGGCTTAGGTTGTCAGTTCAAGTGCTGATGCTGGACCTGTGAAATACTAAGGGTCCCCCATACACTGGGATGAAAAAACCATTATTCACATTCCTGCTCGTTCACCCAGAATTTATTTCAAAGGAGCTTTACAGGAACAGTAAACGAAGCAAAATGTCCATATCTTAACTTGAGACTATTAATATCACAAGTGTAAAAAGGCAACAGAACCTCACTGAATAAATGAAGAGAATAAATTGACATTGGGGGGGAAATAACTTGATAATTTCCTTGTAACATTGCCAGGTTATTAAGATCTAGTGGTGAAGTTACCATTGAAATTCCCACAACAGCTTGTGAAGGTCAAGAAAATGCCATTAAATCCCTGGAACATGTACAATTTGAAGCAACGATTGAATATTCCCGCAGAGGTGATCTTCATGTGACCCTGACTTCTCCATCAGGTACAGGAGACAAACTACCTAGTTCTGCTTTGTCTAGTAATTGTACCCTAGACACAACCAGTTTCTCTTTTCTCTTTGCTGTTTTGTAATGTTTTGGGAGCTGCAAGGATTAAGCATCCCTTTGGGAAGTGGGATGCTAGTATCAGCACACCAAAAAACCCTGAAATGCCAAACTAAAAACGTGTATCAATGAGGACGCTTTTGGATGGCAAAGCATTGTTTGCCAGTAGCAAGCACAACTGCATGTCAACATGCATATTTTCTAACAAACCTACCAGAACTGAGCAGGTATTTGATCCAGAGATTTTCATGGGTTTGGGGAGGGGTGAGCCAGCCACCACCATGCTCCTGGCACATGTTTCAAGGGGAAAACCCAAAATAATGGAAAAAGAAATGAAAGCACAAAGGAAATTAAAAAGGAAACGAAATATCTTCCCCAATCTATATACTGTGTACCTGCCTCCAGCTCTCACTTCCTGGAAAATTCATTTACCGGTACTCCATGGTTTTCTTGGAGATGGCCATGATTCATGTGCCCTCTGGCAAATTAGGCAAGGGAAAAACAGTGGCTAAAGGCAGAGGTGTTGTACCTGGGCTCTTGGTAGCATCACCTTGCTGAAAGTAGGTATACATGGAACACTTTTGCAGTGATTTAAGGGGATTAAGCAAAAGGAGTGAAGAAAAAGTGGAGGAAGCCAATGGAGGCAACCATCTCCTTTTTAAAACCCAAAGTACCCTGGGAATGAGGCTACACATCATGGTGTAGCACCATCCCCATTGTGGCATTCTCAAAGAGTAGCACCTAACGAGATGTTGCTTCTTGTTGCAGAAAGTCTCTGAAAAGGTCCATCACTACTTTCACTAAGATGCGGGGATACTTCCTTGGCTCCGGCTTGGTTAGATTGTGTGTGTAAATCCCTGCTAAGGCCAATAATGTAAAGTAGAGAGGTCCAGCAGTGTTAAAATTGAAATATAACTCTCCCTTATTGAGGGCATGTGGAGTTTAATCTATCTGCAACCAGCCATTGTTGTCTTAGCAACAGAACCCATCTACAACAGAGCTCTCCTATTTTATATCTTCCATTTTATAGCTTCTAGGCATTTTTTAAAAATTCTTATTATTTCTCATGACCAATCCTCAGGGCCCTTCAGGCTCTCATTAAAATTAGAAGTGAGCTTTCTGGTGCTTCATCCATAAAGAAAATAATAGCGTGAGAGATCACAAAACCTGTCAATTTGCAAAATAGGGACGCCACCTCCCTTATCTACTCCTTTAGGTCGTAATCTCTAAGTTGCTTGCTCCAGAGCATGTCAATTGTCATCAGCCAGGACTACTCTAAAACAAATGTGTTGCAGAAAGCAAATTGAGAGAAGAGAAAATATGAAGGGTTGTAGCTCAATGATAGAGCACACGGTCTGTATGCAGAAGACCCCCCTTTCAATTCCTAGCATCCCTAAGAAGGACTGGAGGAAACCTGTTTCTGAACCTGCTGTCAATCAATTTAGAGCTGCTACCCACCAGTACACTAAGCTAGATGGACTTAGTATAAGGCATGTTATTATGTTCATTGAAACCAATGACAAAGGCACCGATCATAGCCCACGTACTCCCACTAATACTATATTCTGAATCTTATTCCCCAATCATAAAATCTGAACCAATTACTGAAAAACTAAGCCAAAGCCAAGACTTTCAAGCCTTTAAGGGTCATTTCCCCTGCTCATGGCAGTTTCTTTTTTCCTTTTGCCTGTGCAGTATATCGACACATTAATGGACATGTTGTTAGTTCCATTCAACATATGCAAAACCTACAATCTTGCACAACAACTATATATTGACGGAGAAGCAGAGCCATGCTACGATCCCCATCCTTGAGTTTGTGCGTCTACCTGGCCCTACTCTTAGGCATGGACATCTAAGCAATGGAATTCGGTGTATGTTGACTCTCCTTGCATAGGATTTCACAGGAGCTGGAACCCTGGGTGATCCTCAAAGACAGCTTCTGTGGAAACTTCTTTGCATACTGCTTAGACCTGGCTTCCACTGCTGAGATGTCTGTGTCCAATGTGTGGGTTTTGGTAGTGGACCAGGAGAAGACTTCCAATGTCAGGGATGGTGCTGGTAGTGTGGCCCAAGTATCTCTTTCAACACATGCAGGGAGCTAATGTTTAACTCGTTTTGATGAGTTTTGCAATGATGTGGAAAGGTGCAGATAATGGCAGGGATCCATGGAAGTCCTTGGGCAAACATTTGTTTCTAAACAATCACTGGAGAATCCCTATTTATGTCTTCTGACCCAAGGATCTCTGCATAACAAGCTGAGGTCCCTCCTCACATCCCACTTTATGAGCAGCTTGGCAAGCAGTGCAGGGGGCTGCTCAGTCAGAAGTTGTGGATTTTGTAAGTGACTGATCTCAATGCCTAATTTCTAAACTTCCAGGAAAGTATACAATGTATTCAGTCATTGATTTTATTTGTTCAATGTGCTGAATCATTTTGGCAGTGCATTATGAGCTACAGGAACTCAGTATTCCCAAATCCACATATTACTATAGCTCTTGAGAGACAACAAGCTATTCCTTTATTCCTCAGTGAACCTAAGTGGTACAGACTGTGAAACTCAAGGTCGTTCTGTGTCTCCAGAGCTGACACTGTATTTATCACTGTCTGCTAAGCCTCATCAGTTTTCCTCGTGTGACTTTATCCTGGGATTCTTATTCCTTTCCTCTAATACAGGGACCACCACAGTCTTACTAGCCGAACGGCAAAGAGATAAGTCACCCAATGGCTTTAAAGACTGGGATTTTATGTCAGTTCACACTTGGGGAGAGAATCCAACAGGCACATGGACTTTAAAAGTTGTTGATACGGTAAGCAGGGGAAGCTACTGAAGCAGTCAAATGCATGAGTGAAATGATACGAGGGGTGTAAGCCCCTTCCTGCCAGAAGCGAGGAAATATAATCAGCGCCACAAATACCTATCACTTTAGCTTGGTTGGAAATTATCGTCCAGGAGTTCAGCTGAGATAAGAAGACATCAGGGTTTCTAATAAAAGATCAATGCTTTATTTTTGCACATTGTGACAGAAGCAATGATTCATGAGATTGCTTTAAAGAGCAGGCATGTATTTATTTTGAAGAAATTGGGGTACTGAGAAATAAATGCAACAGGACAATGTATGGATTTCAAAGAGTAACACAAACAGTGTGTAGAATGGTTAAAATGATTATTCAGCCGGCCTACACACCATTTGTGTTGCACTTGGAGTCACTGCCACCACCAGTTTATTCTCCTCTGTCGCCCACCTGTACAGTGTAAAAGACTAATTATTCTGCTATGACCCCCTCAGTCTAGACGATTGCAAAATGAAGGAAGAATTGTGAACTGGAAGCTGATTTTGCATGGCACTTCAACTCGACCTGAGCACATGAAGAAACCTCGCATCTACACATCATACAATACTGTCCAAAATGACAGGAGAGGTGCGGAAAAGATGACGGATTTTGTAGAGGTATCAATCTATTCTCATCATACCCTTCCTCGAAGCATCCTTATAGCATTAGAATCAAACAGGAGGAAATTTCCCCTTTTAAAATGTTTTTGTCTTTCTGGAATTCCTCCATTGTTGGGTCTATGTATATCTAATTACTGTACAGAATTGGCAGGCAAAAATATGTGGCAATGGCTATTAAAAGGGACTAGATAAATTCATGAAGGATGCAACAGCAACTGTTAGTCATGATAGCTTAATGCAACATTTGCCAACCTGATGACCTTTAGATGTCCCTGGTGGTTCCTCTTTTGAATGGAAGTGAAGCTCAGCTTCCAACCATGGTGGCCATCTGCCAAAACGCAGTGCCCCAGCAATATATAGATATGAAATATATAGATTCCATAGATCCATAGAATGGGTTCTGTACATTTTATAGAAGCATAGACCTTGCATTTTGGGTACATTTAGATGACAGGTGGTCACCATTAATGGAAGCATTGCTGGGTCAGAGCAATGAGGGACCCTTTTCAGGCTCTTAGACAATGCCTGAACTGGCTGACCACTGGCACCAGACCTGAACACAAATGAACTTTGATAGCTCACATCACACTGCATGGAGCATTCTGTTTTATAGCCCCTTTGCACATAATAGCTGTGAGGAAAGCTTGAGTGTGCTGGCCCCCAGCCCATGAACAGCTGGTTGTATGAGTTCAACCGCCACAGGCAACATTCAACTTTTGACTTGGGGTTTCCAATCTGCTCAGCATTTGCTTTAAACATGTGGAGTTCTTTTTCCTTGTGCTAATATTCAATGGCTCCTTACATTTGGCATACTCATACATACATATATATATTTCAGGACCACACCACACTGGAGAACCTGAGTGGAAAAAGGAAGGTGACAGAAAGTACCACTGGCAAAGATAAATTACAGGAAGTGGCCTCATCAGATGCAATGCTCCGGCTACTGCAAAATGCCTTTCGTGACCAGATGGGTGGGAATCAAGTACCAAAAAAGGTGCTAAGTGAAAACTCAAATATTCCCTATGAACATTACTATCAAGCTCTTGAGAAACTAAACCAAGCCTCTCAGCTGAAAGACTCAGAGGAGTCTCTGTATAGTGACTATGTTGACCTTTTTTACACTAGCAAACCATACAAGCATCGGGATGACAGACTACTCCAAGCCTTGGTTGACATTCTGAAAGAAAAAGATTAAGATATACATATATAGAATAAGGCACTAGGTTGGAAACATTCACAGCCACCCCATCTTCTTAATACTCCTCATTCCAGACTGGCTCCCACTTATTCAATCTGCATCATCATCACTTTTATGGCTTTCTGCGTGCCAACAATCTTCTTTAGGAGAAAGAGATTGGGCTGCTTGTTAGATGTGAGGAAATCACACCTTTATGAAAAGCTTTCAGTAATCCTGAGAACAGGCAGCTTCCTTCGGGAATGAGACAAATTCACCAACTTGTGAAAACACTAGAGATTGAATGCAGCAGGTCCTGTCCAAAAAATTATGTTACCAATCACAGTTAGGGATATTGTTTCAAGCAAAAAATATTAGTAATAATAATAATAAATTTTATTTATATCCCGCCCTCCCCAGCCGAAGCCGGGCTCAGGGCGGCTAACAACAATAAAACAGCACAACAGTACGACACAACACAACACTCTAAAATCATTCATTATAAAATTGATTTGAATCAAACCAATGGTAACCATTGGGCCAGAGCTCCGCGAAGATTGCCAAAGGAGGGAATCAGGCTGTGCCCTGGCCAAAAGCCAGGGATTATCTAACGTCTCCTTAATTGAAGTGAGTTCTTCAACCCATAGAGAAGATTTCCTTTCAGAAGGAATAAGGCAGTATTGTCACAAAATCCAGCCAACTCCTTTCAACCCCAAATACTGAAGGTTGTCTGTGGACCCAACCCCCCCACCCTGCCCTAATTTAGATTCACATGTAAAAACGCTCCTTCAAAAAAAATTATTCCGTACAGCCTATCAGTTTCTACCGCTGTGGTTCAAGAACAGCAGTGAGGCATCTCTGGTCCACATGCCTAAATATGCCTGCCAGACCATTTGGAACAAGCCACACCCACCTGCCTCTATAGGTAAAAAATGTAGCTGGGCCCAAGCACTGACAATCAGCTGGCTATCTACTTTGTATGCAGAACCTCTTAGCCCTGACCCACTTATTAGGAGAATCTTATACGACACCTATACCATGCTTGGATCTACACGGATTATATAGATCCTGGGAAATGTAAATAGGATACTACCTGCACCAGTCTTCTTTAATAAGGCACAGGAAGAAATGCAGATGTGAATAGCACCATGCCAAAACCTGGGCATCACGATCAAATGAGTCCAGTTAGGCCCTTTTGCTGGTGTTAAAACTCTATAGCCCTATTAGGCTCTGAATGTGCTAATTTTACTCCCCCCCCCCCCAAATATCAAAACTAAGTCCATACATTTCAGGAGACAGGCTTCCTGGGGGAAAGCCCTAATATAACCAGAGAGTACTAAATATAAATAGCAAATGCTGAATCTAACCAGATCTGGCATTATTGTGGTGATTTTCTTGCTTTATGACACATTTGTCAACATCTAGCAGAGAGGCTATTTTGTCAGAAATGAAAAACCGGGGAAGAGAGGCACAAGGGCCTTTAAGAACAAATGGAAATTGAACGCAGAAGAAACATTTCAATGAAAGATACAGCTTGGCTGCTTTATTAGGTGAGGCAGTGTCCGTAGGGGGGCACCTTAGCCTGAACCATGGTCAAGGCTGAAAGAGGTAAGAAAGAAAGAAATAAAGAAAAAGAGGACATCAAGGAAATAACTAGTGAAACAAAATGCGGGCACAGAGGCTGCAGGAGCAGTGAAAAGGAAATCAAGAGGACAGGAGAGAAAATGTGGGAAAGGGCTGTGGCAGAAAGCATCGCTCGCACAGCATCTAGCTACAGGTATGGTGACTGCCAGGGGAAATGTTAAATCATCAGGTAAGGTTCAAAAGAAAGTATAAATTGCAGGGTGTTAAGCGGAATGATACCTTTTCCCCACGTGCACATTTTTTGTATAGAATAAGGCTATAATCTATTATGTTGAAGATGCATCCCAAAGGAGAAAATACACTGTTGAATCAACAGTTTAGAAAATGTAAACGAGCGCATTAAGATGAAACTAATGTAAGGTGAATAGCTAGGTGAATAAATAGTGACGATCAACATCTCCCCACTCTACCCCTCTCTTTCCTCTATACAATACAGTCATGGGGAAGGGCCATAGCTCACTGGCAGACCATCTTGGTTGCACGGAGAAGGTCCCAACTTCAAGCCACAGCACCTCCAGATAGGACTGGGCAAAAGTCCTGCCTGGAATTCTGGAGAGTTGTTGTCAGTCACTGCAGACCAGGCTAACAGACCAGTGGTCAGGGATGATGGGAATTGTAGTCCCAGACATCTGGAGGACCGGAGTTTGCCTATGCCTGCTGTAGACAATACTGACCAATGAACTGGCTCAATGAGCTCAGGAGGACCAAGGAGCTGACTCAACACGAGGCAGCTACCTATGTAATAATAATTTCAAATCAAACTGTAGTGCCAACCAGCTGTGCATGATGACGTTGGTTCGCACCCATTGAACTTCAAAGCATGCACAAATGCAGTCTTGATTACAGCAAGTATTAATCTTTTTCCCCCTCCTTGGTGCTAATTACATTGGTTGTCACCATGAGGCATGCTCACTTGCCTTTTGAGAACATCCCTCTAGTAGCAATGAGTCTCTGCATGAGGTCAAAAATTGGCTGTTAGGGGCTTCACCCTTCATTAGTTTAGTTCCTTCTCAACCTTCCTCTTCTCCTTCTACTTGCCCCTCAACATATGCCATGAACTTTACACTGAAAACTAGTGGCAGATTTGATGCGAGTTTTCTATAAAGTTCCCTAGCTCAAATAACATTTAGATCAAGGTTTCCCAGACTTGGGTCTCCAGCTTCTTTTGGACTACAACCACCATCAACCCTAGCTAGCAGAACCAGTGGTCATGGATGATGGGAACTGTAGTCCAAAAACAGCTAGAGACACAACTTTGGGAAACCCTGGTAGGGAACAGAAAGTTTAATGATATAATAACCTAATAGAATGTAACAGTTGAAGTAAAGATGGGATGAACAATGGGAAATTGGAAAACCAATGCTAACTTCCTCCCTCTACTAGGTTGTCAGAACCTGGGAGCCACCTTGTACATAATGCAGTGCTTCTAGCCCTCATTAGCATCTAGCTTAGATTGTGATAATTACTGGCTGCTTCCTTTAGGGAGCAGCAGAACAAGTAATTATTCATTATGTGAAAATTACCACTGCACACCTTAATTAACATCAGTGATGGCCAATACATGATTGTAACCCTTTCTGCATACCTGGTTATGTTTAGCTTTGTTCATTTAAGATCAGTAACCCGTATTGTAACTAAAATTACATAAGACCTATATTTAAAGTCCTCTGATACAAATTCTGTTGCTTGAATGCTTCCAACCTAGAGTGCATTATATAGACGTTAAATTATTTTTGTTAGTCTTTTCTTGGTGCCAGTCTGTGTTTTGTGAAAAAGTAAAATGAAAGATAAGGAATGTCTTATCTCAAGGGGGAATTATATTTTCTTTACAGCTATTTATAACATATTAAAGCTTTTATCAGACACAATTTGAAAACAATAAATTATTACAAACTTTAAAAATAATAAATGACAGCAAACCTTTTTTTTTTATTTGAGCAAAACAACTTCGTCCAATAAATTATTTTTGATGGCTTGTTGAGTTGACAACAGCCATATGTATATGATGTGATGTGATGTTAAAATTTACATTTGTTTAATCATAGCATAATACAACGTAATGTGATAGCAGAGCCCAGAGTGTGTGGTCTTAACATTTGTAAAGAAGCACAACACAGAGACATCACGTGAAATACATTTGCTTGCAAAGACGAGGCAGTGCCATGAAGGGTTGAATCTGAAGAAAAACACAGGACTGCCTCAAAGTGCTGTGGTGCTCTCAGAGCAGGACTTTGGGGGCAGAGGTATAGGGACCCATGCAGCAGAATGAGCAAGAAGTTCCTCCAATGTAAGCAGTGAAGCAAGTCAAGTCGTGCACATTGCCATCTAAAGGAGGGGTGCTGAACCTGTGGCCTTACAGGTGTTGCTAGACTGCAACTTCCATAATCCCAATATCCGAAGGGTCACAGGTTAGTCATGCAGGATAGGGGAGCGGGTGGCACTGTGGTCTAAAGACTCTAAACCACTGAGCCTCTTGGGCTTGCTGATCAGAAGGTCGGAGGTTTGAATCCCCGCGACGGGGTGAGCTCCCGTTGCTCTGTCACAGCTCCTGCTAACCTAGCAGTTTGAAAGCACACCAGTGCAAGTAGATAAACAGGCACTGCTGTGGCGGGAAGGTAAATGGCATTTCCATGCGTTCTGGTTTCCGTCAAGATGTTCCGTTGAGCCAGAAGCGGTTTAGTCATGCTGGCCAAATGATCCGGAAACCTGTCTGTGGACAAACACCGGCTCCCTTGCAGCGAGATGAGCGCTGCAACCCCATAGTCGCCTTTGACTGGACTTAACCATTCAGGGGTCCTTTACCTTTACCTTTTCACCTATGCAATATGAAGACATATAAGACTATTAGATCCCGGAGTATTGAAACCATTGAGTCTTGAGTCTAAAATCACCTAACAGCACCACTGCTAAAGGGAAAGCTGTTGTAATGCATGTGATAGTGGTGGTTATTCCAGTGCAACAGTACCAACTTAATCAGTTGGGACAATATGACACTCAGAGTCAACATGGGATACCAGCATTATGCAAGAACTACTGTGATGGCAGTCAGGTGTACTAGACAACCTAAACACACATTTGCCAATGCAATGGGTTAAGCAGGGTCTCCAGCTGTTTTTGGAGTACAATTCCCACCACCCCTGACCACCGGTCCTGCTAGCTAGGGATGATGGGAGTTGTAGTCGATGCAAAGCCCTGCCACACCACCAGGCTGGGGGTGGGGGAAAATCTACACACACACACACACACACAGCAGCAGCAAAGCTGCATGGTGGAACACCTCCCCTCTCACTGACTCAGCGAGAGGGGAAGTGTTCCACAGAGGTTACCAACAGTCACTGGACTAGGCTATATAGCTGCAAATATGATGTTTTAAGTTCATTTTAAGTGCATTATGCAAATCTGACACTAGATGCCACTGCTGAACAGATGGCAAATTCCATATATATATTTTTAAAAATTTAAAAGCATTTCCAAAGCGTTTTTTAATTTATGTATAGATTCAGCCACTCTCTGCCCCTAGAGGGCAGGGAAACGGGCAATAGAGCTGGGTGGTAGAACAAGTGTGCCGCCCATTGGCAGGGTGCTTCCTGAGGCAGTTGCCTCACCCTCATGCGGGCCAGCTCTGCTCCCTTCCTGATTAATTATCATGTTTTTATCTTACCCTTCCTCCAAAACATTCATGGCAACTGACCTGTGTTTATGTGTGTATTGTGTGTATATGTAAGCATGTGCGTGTGTGTAACAAGACAGGGACTTGGGTTGCAATCCTACATAGGTTTATCTAGGCATAAGCCCCATTGAACTCAATGAAGAGACATGCCTCAGATTGCAGTGTTCAGAGGGCCTGTTTCGGGATTGCACAGTTTGTCTGTTTCAAACCCAGTGCTCTTTTTCTTAAAAAAATTAAAATGTTTAGGGGTACTCTCATTTTGACTCAAGAAAAATAACCACTTTTATAGTTCAAATCGGGGAAAATAAATACAATAAATTGATAAAAGTACAAAGATTCACAAAATGTTTAGGGGTATGCGTACCTCTGCGTCCCCCCCAGCAAAAGAAGGACTGTTCTATATATGTTTGAAAGACAGTCTGTATGCCCATGTCACAGTAGCTTTGCTGATGTTTCTGTAAATAATATGCTTGTAACTCTTATCAAGCTATTTATTTTGTTACTTCTTTTCTGCAGTTAAAACACTGCCTTTCTGATCATTCACTTGAGGCATTTTAACATTTAAAACAAGGATGTGTGATGTAATAGATTCAATGACAAAAGTGGTGGAGGAGGGAAGCTAGGAAGGAAAGTGGAAGCCCAATAAATTCATGTACCAATGATTACATAATGTTATAATGGTGGAATGGCCAAGAGGGGAGACAGTTCTGGCGGGGGTGGGGGTGGAGAAAGGAGGAGCAAGATGCCACCTGGTCCCAGCCAGGCCCAGGAGGTGGGCCTTGCCCTCTCATCTCTCCCTAAGATGCACCCAGCCAAAATGCCTTTTGATGGAGACAAGTGTTATCTTCCTCTTACGATACTAGACAAGAACAAGGGCTCTGTAGCCAAACGATTATCGGGGAAATAGCTCTTAATGGTGAAGCTACTTCAGCTATTTAGATATCTAAGAATACGCAGCAGAGAGTGATTTCTTTTCCCTTGCTGTGATATCGGTAGCCAAGAATAAATGGGTTTGCTCTTGTTTTATCTACTAATGTTTTGTTTAACAATACTTCTTATCAGTAAAATGTTCTGAATGCTAAAACATGCAGTAATGCAGGCCTGTACAGCCTGATAAGGAAGTGCACTTAGAATGAAAGATTTGCAGGTTTATTAATGAAGTCCAGAGTTCCTCTGTGGAATAAAGCAATAAAAGCTCGGCTAGTTATAAAGTCAATGCCAT